GTTTAAATTAGGCCACAACTTTATTGATTAGAGAGCTAAGGGGTTTGGATTAGGCATTGGGTATAAGTTGTATCAGGGACGCGGGTGGCACTGTGGTCTAAACCACAGAGCATAGGACTTGCCGATCAGAAGGTCAGTGGTTCGAATCCCCACGACGGGGTAAGCTCCCGTTGCTCAGTCCCTGCTCCTGCCAACCTTGCAGTTCGAAAACACGCCAAAAAGTGCAAGTTGATAAATATGTACTGCTCCGGCAGGAAGGTAAACAGCGTTTCTGTGCGCTGCTCTGGTTTCAGTGTTCCGTTGCGCCAGAAACAGCTTAGTCATGCTGGCCACATGACCTGGAAAAACTGTCTGCAGAGAAACGGCGGCTCCCTTGGCCTGTAAAGCAAGATGAGTGCCACAACTCCAGAGTCGTTCGCAACTGGACTTAACTGTCAGGGGTCCCTTTACCCTTTACCTTTACCTATAACCTGTATCAGCCCACCTCCTGCTGGTTGATTCAATGAAAGGTTGAGCCAGTGGTGAGGAGTCTTTTGACACATCAAACAGGTACCACTCCACCAAGATCACCTTTTGGAGAAGTGCTATGGCCCTAGACCCCATCTGTGTGTTTCCTCCAGGATCCCTTTAATCTGGTGTAAGTATTTCAGCTAGTGTCTTCATATTGTGATATGTCTTTCGTCCATTCCATCATGTCCTCTTGTGCTCAGCCAATTAATATGAACCTACATTTTGAGGATGAATGTTCAGCCATTTTATTTTTGTGGGCTTGAAGAATGTTTCCAAAATAATAAAAAATGTAAAGATGAAGCTTATTACCACTATTTGTCTGGCAAAAAGCAGACGAGGATCCCTAGCACTAACACTATTCTATTTATATGGAAAAGTGAGGAATCTTTAATTTAAAAATGAAGCTATCAACAAACACCCTAGGTCTGAAGAATGGCTATTCACTCTTGGTCAGCTTAGTACCTGAGGTTCATTTTGATAATGCCAGTTTGGTGAATGCATACTTGCTCACTGTATCTTTTATTCTGGATTTTCTGTTATATCTCAAAGTGTCCTTTCTGATATCCACAGCATGGAGTTAGTCTTGTGCGACTGTTTCTGAAGTAGTGAAATGGTTATTTCTAGTATTAAATTAGGGGCTAACTATACATTACTGCAAATGTGTCACTTAAAGCAACATCAGGTTGTTGTTTTTTAAAAAAGAAAATAATTAAAAACAAGTTTGGGAAGCAACTGGATTTTTGGGGGGTTTTGTTTTCAAATTTCGATTTTCCATGCAGAAAAGCTCCCCCCCTTTCACGATTGTAGTGGAAAGGCTTAAATCCTCTTTTCCTGACCCTCTTCAGGAGACATGAACTTGGTTGATTCTAATCACACATTTAAAGTAAGGATAAGTTATACCCTTAGGGGTTTTTTGGCATGTGACACTTGAAACATCACAGGGAAGCATGGTTGTTGTTTTTTAATTCATAGCCAATGTAGGGCTGATATTTGAATTACAGACTAGCAAATTCAAAAACCAGTTTAAATCTTATATGGCTGTTTTAAACAACACATGTTGCTGCTAAATAAAATAAAATAGCTTTTCCCCATTCTCGGGCAAATCTGTCGATCCATCTTCCTTCCTTTCACTAAGCTTTCACTTGTCCCTCCCCCTGAAAAAATGCATATGAGGAATATCTCATTCTAACTTACATTTTCAAATAAGCTGTTACAAGCTTATTCATTATTAGCACTGACAAACTTCAGCTGGTTTCAAACAGGATAAAATACTATTTAAATGCAGCCAGCCAGTCACCAACATCTCTTTGCTTCAGGTTGCTGACAGGTCCCTGTGTTATAGTTCAAATTTAGTTGGGAGGAAACAGGTTGAAGGAAAGCAAAGCCAAAGATATTATGTTGAGTAATCCACTGTAGTTTCATATATATGGTAGTCTTAATTTCCTTTGGGACAAGGACAAAAGGGGCTATAGGGTGAAGAAGCAAAATAATAAAACATGTTAACATGAGAAATGCAGGCTAGCTTTTGGATGTGAGGTTGTTCACTGTGTATTAAAACTGCACTGTGATTTGTGTGCCATGGCTGGCTTCTTGGTGTTCTATTTTCTTTTATTCACTGCCCTCTAGAGGTACTAACAATATAACAACAACTGCCGGCTGCCATTTGCTGTTTGCTATTATTTAGCAGGTAGATCTTTGCTCTATGCACCTCCCCACCACCCCAAAAAATGAACTTTTCCGTCATTTTAGTCCCTCTCCCTCCTTTCAGATAAATTCACAGTTCTCAGATAAAATGGATACCATCCATTTTAAACAGCCGTGTGCACTAAAGTGCTTATTCCTATAACTGTGTGTTCATAAGCAATTTATGTGCTGGCTTTGCTGAAAAGGTCCATTACTCATCACACTTGAGGGATGTAAAAATGTTGGAGTTATCAGCTTCTCTCAGCCCCACTCCCCGCTCCCCCATGCCATTTAAACCCAGCTATTATGTCTCCATACCATTGTGATTTGACTCATTTGCAGAGTGTAGAAAAAGAGGTCAAACTCTCAGTGTCGTCTTTCTAGAGAGAACTGAGTAGGAAGCAGCATGCAGTTTCCCCCCACTCTTTTTCTTTAATTTCCTTCTGTGCTTCAGTTAACTCTCGACTTCATCTAACTCTGCCAGATAATGCTATATGACTATCAGTCTCTCAGCTTCTCTGCTGCTCCTTTCTCTGACCCTGGAAAAGTATCAAAGGATGGGGGTTCACCCCTTGAATTCTGGCTCTGGTTTCCAGCACTTGTTGAAAGCATGTGTATGCACAGCTTTTCAGCTTTCCTTACCTGACACAACCTGGGGGGAAAAGGCTTCTCTGGTGGCATTTCCCCGGAAATAAGCAGCCTGGTGTTGAAACCACAATGTATGCTCTGCATACTTATTAGGGGATTCCAGTGTTTTTTCCTCACCAACATGTGCAGCATGACGTGTGTATTATCCTTGGATGAGATAGCAAGTTTAAAAAAATAAGAAGAAGAATTCAATAAGCCTATCCTTGTCAGAAGATGTGCCATATTTTCTAGTCAAACGGTTCAAACAATTCTGCTTGAACAGTAAATTTCTCAGTGGTAATCACATAATGTTCCATATCAGTATATTTTAGCTACAGCATACTCCTTGAAATGTTGCTTTATAGCTTTCAACATCATTTTTCGTTTTGGCCATGGCTGTTAACACAAGATGGGTCATTGCATGCTGCTGCTTCTGCTACCCATTCAGGCTAAAAATCAGGGCACTCTTCACAGACTGGGTTTTTATTATAGGTATGGACATTGGGGCTTTGCGTCATCTTTCCAACTATATGTTAATTTAGCACAGCCTAAGCTGATCTTATGGGGCCAGAGGGGAGATTGTAGTACCAGTAAACGGTGTTTCCTTGCGCTCTGGCTTCTGTCATGGTGTCCTGTTGCGCCAGAAGCGGTTTAGTCATGCTGGCCACATGACCTGGAAGGCTGTCTGTGGACAAACGCCTAAAAGCGAGATGAGTGCCGCAACCCCATAGTCGCCTTTGACTGGACTTAACCATCCAGGGTCCTTTACCTTTTTTTTACCTGTAGTACCAGACTCACAGCTATCAAAGTTCAGTCCCTTCAGAACCTAAACTGTTTTCTGTAACCTAGCTCCAAACTCTGTTTGCTCAGCAATCCTTTAGCATATTCAGAGCCTGCTTAGTATTTCAAAGATTAAACTTCATCACATTAAGACTGTGGTGGGCTGGAAGGGTGGATAGATTTAACATGTTGGTACTTCACATAGTATTAATACTTGTGAAAAGTCTGGTATCAGATTGCCAAGTAGGTGTCATGGACTGGCTGAATATAGAGGAATGGTAGGCGGAACCAGCTGGGAAACCCCCATAGGAACCCCCAAGGGGAGAAGGCTCGGAGCCAGAAGATTGGTAGTGGGACAACAATGAGTGACCAGAGGGAGAAGACTGAGGGGAGGAGCTGTCAGAGGCAAGGGTTTAGTGAGCAGGAAGAGTCTATGGCACAGTGCAGAGTTGCAACCAGCTCACCTCTCTGTCTTGGTCTCTGAGAATAAAAAGAGCAGAACAGAGATTAGTTGTGCACAGACGCACATTAGTTGTGCACAGACGCAGTTTGAGACTACATAGGAAAAATTAAAATTGGATTCACAACTCAGCCCAAAATTAATGGGTGGCAATGGGGGGGGGCAATTTTGCAAATTATTCTCTGGGAAAAGACTGAAATTCTGAGATATTATAAAGGAACTCAAAAAGCTTCAAACATTTGTCAGTAAATTATTTTCTGTGAAATTTCAACTTAGCACTATTTTGTTGTCAAGTTATTTGGGTGTGATCCTTATTTGACATCTGATACTGTTTCTAGGAAATGACCACCAACTATGTTTGTAGGAAAACTGATAATCCCCAAGGAATGAGAAGGCTTTAGATCCTTAAATACCAATGAACTGGTATCTCCTGGGTCAATTGACTCTTTCTTGTCAAGAACAAAAGTGAATAGTACTGAAATAGATATACTACTCAGGGTCAGTTAGAGAACCCCTTTTCTACAGGAGCAGATGTTACACACACATAAGTAGAAATTAAATTAAATTGTTGGCCCTTATGAGAGAGATCAGCAAATCCACTTGCATGTCTTTCCTAGCAGCCATGCTGACCTTGAGGTCCTTACATTTCCTGGGAAGGGAAGAGAAATACCAGCTATGGCTTATTGCCACCCACTTTTTCTGTTGTATATGTATTTTGCTCTGTTGCTAGTGTGGTAGTCTTTGTTCCATTCTCTGGAATTGAACACATTCAATGAAGAGCAGGCTATAAATTCTTCTTCTTCTTCTTCTTCTTCTTCTACTACTACTACTACTACTACTTATTATTATTTCTATTTATAAAATGGAATAAGCCTTTGATTTTCAGAACAAGCCACATGCAAAAATTACTATTTGTAATTTGTTGCTGTGTTAGTTCTGTGAAGGAGATGGTGTGCAGTGATCAATTCATACAGAAAAATTTGAGGAGCTCAGTTTTTGCACCTGTAAAACACAAAATAACAGGTGAAAGCAAAGGTTCCCCAGACACTTTTACTGGAAAACATTTCCTCTGGTGACTCTGGGGGCAGTCTGCAAGGTCATCCAGTTTTGAAACTATATAATCTTTTTATGTTGTTGTTTTTAGCTCTGTTTCAGTAGATTTTATTTCTTCATCCTGGGGAGAGAGAAATATATTTCACAGAATGCTTTGCACCTAATGATAATCTGTGCAGGCAAATCTATATAACATACCATCCACTTTTATTACTGAGCTCTGCATGCTTTCCCAGGATATGTCAAAGAAAGTTTAGGTCAAGAGGTATCATTTTAAAAACTGCCAAATCCATTAAACATTGCTGTGCATTTTTTTATCTGTTTAGTGAGACTGCTTAGTGACTTCAAATACTTACATGGCTTTTGCAATATCGTTTTGATATATTTTGGGAAGGAAAAAAACCCAAGCAATTGTCATGGGCACTCTTTTTGCTTTATTGGTTTAAACACAGCCCACCTGACTCACTTTTAATGCAAACAAACTAAGTAATGTTCTGTGGTGAAAATATGTACCATGAGGAGTAGCTACCACCTTTTTCCACTGTTGTCATGACAACTGAAGCTAATTTCTAAAAGTTTAAGGGCAGGGTGAAGAAATCCATTGGTTGGAAGATGCAAGAGGTTTTCAACTGAGTATTCGGACTCTGTCTAATCAGCAAGCTTTTTTCTCTGAAACAACATACAATTTCCAAAGGCCTCTCCAACTGTTCACATGTCCAAAACCAGTAGGCATTCATCCAACATGGGGTTGTTCTCAATGTGGAGACATCATTTAGCTATCATGAATAGTTGCTGTTGATGAAGATATTCTTGGTGAATTTGTCTAGCAACCCCTTTAAAGCCATCTGTGCTAGCAGCTAGGGGCTTATTTGGGCATCCTGGCTTCCATAAGGTTTGCAGAGTGCAATAAAATATGTAGAAATCAATGTCCATTTTTGTTGTTGCTGGGGTCAGGAACTTAAATCCACTTAAAATGTGCCATAGACTGCTATGGCAGTGAAGTCTGGCTGCATGGCCATCACCAAGACCATTATACTGGACCCTACGAGCTGCTGTGATTTATAAAGACCCATCAGACTTTCCAGTAATCAAAGTCATAATGCTAATGTTTGACAATGCAGTCTACACCAAATTAAAGAGATACTTCAAATTACTGTGCATGGAGAGCTGAAGGTGTAAAGGGCTCATTAAAAATATTTCTTTTCCCATTGGAAATAATCTTTACAGAAAATTTGCAGTTGCAAGGATGGTGCTGGAGTTGAAGGCAGTGAAGATGGAGGTTACACAATGAAATGGGGACAGAAAATACGCAAAGATTATAAGACTAAAGTTACTGGCTGATAAATATTTACTCTAATTAATAACATGTAAATTGAAAAGGAGGCATTTAAAGAGAACAAGAGCATAGCAGCAGTGACATGCACATTTTTATTGTTTGAAATTTTTATCGCCAGCAGTTTCATAAAAATATATCAAGGTGGTATGCAACATAAGCATCAACAGAAACATCAACAAATACTGATTGGTTAAAAAGGGGGGAATGTCTTAAAGGCCTGTCTAAATGGTTCAGTTTTCAGAAGATGTCTGAATGAAGGCAAAGGTTCCTGCCAAACCTTTACTGGTAAGGGTCAATTGAACTTGATTGGTGTGTGGGACTGCCACTCATCACAGGACCTCAGTGATGAAGGTGGAGCAAAACAGACCAGGCAGTCCTTAGGCCCAAGTTGTTTTGGGCTTTGTGAAACAGCACAAACTTGGCCCAGTAGCAGGTATGCAACCAGTGAAGCTTTATCAGCAATGGGGTAACATGTTGCCAGTAACTTGGTGCTATGAAGTATCTGGCTGCTGCATTCTGCAATAGATGCAGCTAGTTATAGCTTTTACTAAACTAGTGTACCAGAAGGTTTGCAGTAGAATTTTTATAAAAGCGAACTGAATAAATGAGACCCTCACACATACGTGCACCCTTTTCCTCTATCCTCTGGCACTGCCACAAGGAGGGAATTCTCAACTTTTACTTCCATTTTCTTCCTAAAGGTAACTTTAAACAGCTTTGATATCAAAACTCCATCTCTCCTCCACCCCAGCCTCCATTGCAGCCTGAGGCTGTGTGCTCCTGGAAAGCTTCGTGTAAATCCTTACTCCCACAGAGCCCAGGAGCAAAGACTAAAGGCAGCTCCCTTTCTAAATTGAGATTTGTAACCAAATACCTTTGTCACCTGATCTAAGGTTAAACACTCATGTGTTAGCTAGCAGAAAACAACAATAGTTACTTATCAACCCAACGAGTTCAGTGACCACTTTAGGGTTGCCATATTTTGAAGAGCAAAAAAGAGGACACATTTTCTGACTTTTACTTTTAACTATGGATCGCTTTGATGACTCTCATTTTGCATACCCATGAAAAAGAAGGCGTGTCCTGGAAAAAGAGGACATATGACAGCTCTACTCTAGTGGAATTTCTCCATGCTAAAGCCTGCAGTAATACACGTTTCAGTGTCAATTAAACAATTATACCCAACAGGCTGGAACAGCTAGACTTCTAAGTAAGATGTGGGGAGTCTGTCTTACAATGGAGGCTTGACCCTCACTCCCCTTCCAGACACTGTCTTTAGGCTGCCCTCCTAAATCCCAATGGGTGGGGTCAAAGAGAAAATACCTACATTCTAGGTTTACCCAGCCATCTTTCTCCAAAGTAAAGCATAGGTATCCTATTTATCTACTTGCACCTTGACATGCTTTCAAACTGCTAGGTTGGCAGGAGCTGGGACCAGACAACGGGAGCTCACCCCATCGCAGGGATTCAAACTGCCGACCTTCCGATCGGCAAGCCTTAGGCTCTGTGGTTTAGATCACAGCACCACCTGTATGAATTGGTATTGGACAGCAAATATGTTTTTTTGTAACAGTTGTTAGTTTCACACATAGTTTTTTGATGGTTTTTTATTTCTTTACTCAACATTAAATTCAGAGGAAATGTGGCAAAAATTCCTCTTCCACAGAAGCAAAAAGATTGACAACCAGTGCATCCTTGGATATACTGTCAGATCTATTTGCTCTGCAGTTGGAGTGAAATAATAAAAATGCAAGGGATTCAGCATTCATTTAAAATCTAATTCAGGCATATGTAGAAATGTAATTTTTCTAGTGTTAACAGACTTATTTTCATGGCTTGCAGCATTTTTAAATGACAAAATTATTCACCTCACTGATCTGGGTTTCCTCTTTCTTTGAAATCCCCGCAACAGTAAATCAGGTAGATTAACTAGGGATAAACCACAAAGAACATCTTCCCAATATATAGGTGCATACAATGTTTGAAGAAGCCTGAAAAGATGTTCAGAAATCTTTAATCAACCTCAGAAAGTTTACTGTAGCAACAACAAAAAGCAACACTATGTTTTTCCTTACTTTAGTGCTCAGTAATTGTGTGATGAAATAGACTTGAAAATGATTGAAATGTTACTGGTGGAATTAGCATTTTAAAAATGCTTTACTGTGTTCTTGTGGATATGCTCAATGAGGAAGCAACTGCAAAGGAATCAATAAGCAAAGTAATAAAACACACACCTGCTAATTCTCAATTACCAATATGACTTCTGTATACAGACAGTGATCTTTCCATTCATTAAAGGATTCTGGTTCAAAAGAAAATCCTGCTAGTGGGAGGGGGAGGCTTTTTTCCAGATTTGCCCTCCAGTCTCCCGCCCAACACTATTCCAGAAGGTGATTTAACATTCCAGAACAGATTCTGTGGGAATGACACAAGAAGGAAGGGGAAATAAGTGAAAGTTACCTTCATGCTTCCACCAGCAGGAGTGTTCCATAACCAGAATTCTTCTTGCTAATTTACTTGTTTAATGCTTGTATATCATCCTTTCATAAAAAAAGACCACACTGGTGTACAACAGATACGTGTACAGTGAAAACCACATAAAAATCTAAACTGCAGCCCACTAACTAACTATAACATAATTTAAAAATTATTATTTAATTGTCTGGATCAGCCTGGCAGCATAGAAAAGAACACTGGGCTTGAGTCTCATGTTGGGCAAAAGATTCCTACACGTCAGAGGGTTGGCCTAGAAGACCCTTGTGGTCCCTTCCGACACTCTTAAGAGCATGCATTTTCTCAGAGAAGGATAGATGATAGATAGATAGAGGATCGATAGATGGTAGATAGATAGCTAATAGTATTGTTATGCAGTGCCAGTTCAAGATATTTTGCTGCCTGAGGCAGTGCAGTGCAAGTGATGCCTTCCATTTCTAAGGCCAGCACATTAAAAAGCATTGCTGCATCATTGGAAAAGGAATTCCCGCCTTCATCTGTCCCCATTCATGGTTTGCCTAAAGCAAGAACCAATTACTAACAACCACCACCACCAGTGGGGTGGCATTCAGTAGGTCCATTGAAATGAATGAATGTGTCTCAGATCCATTCATTTCAGTGGTTCTACTCTGAATACTTGGTGGAATAGCAACTCATGTCTCTTGTTTTCCTTCCCTCTAACATGTGTTATGCTGTGCTGGTTTTGGAATTTCTTGCTGTTTAAGGAAGACGGGAGCACACGACAACACTGCACATTTATAACCCACAGACTCTAAGTACCTAGCACTTACCAAGGAAACTCACGGCAGCACATATTAGATTATGAAGCAGTTTCATTCCCATCCATTTTGTAGCTCAGCCCAGACCTTCTTAGCTACAGACTGCCATCAGACACTGCCTTCTCTGGATCTAATCTCATTTTTTTAGTCTTCACAAAACACAAATCAAGTATTCTCACCACATTGTGTGTTGTGGAAACATCATTCCAATGTATTTCAGTTCTGTCCTCTCCAGTTTTTGCCCTGGGGGCCATTTGCAGGGGACCTGAAAAGAGGAAGCTAGTGTCAGTGGCAGAGATGAAGGCTGATGATCAATCCATGTGAAGTAAAAGCAAACTTTTTGCCAGGGAGGGGCAGAAGGCATGGTCTGTTTTATTAGCAAAGCTCTGCTAAATGTGCAGATTGTGGAAGCATGTACCTTGTTATTGGCTCACTAAGTATGTTGTCTGCTTCTCTTTCCCACTGCTGTTTTCAAGCACCTCTGACCCTGGCACTGCCAGGCCCCATCAAAAATAATGAAGCCTGACAAATGCAGCTTTAAATCTTATGGCTTTTCTCCTCCAGCCTACTATGCTGCTCCTGCTTGCCTGTTGTTGTCATCATTAGACGTCTGATACAAACTAAGTAAAAGTGGTGGTTAGATTTGATTTACAAAATGGGGGAAAATCAGTTTAATTATCAGTATATAAATTTGTAATATTACATTGAGGCTCCCCCCCCCAAAAAAAACCCCCACACAACCCAACACATTCACTGGCTGGGGATGAGGTTGTGCTCTTATCTAGAAGTAATGACAGACATAATACAAAAAAAAAAAAAAAAAAAGAGCAGAGATGTGAATACATTTTTTTTTATGCTATGCTTGCCATCAATGGGAATGTCAGATATTTATCCAGCTATATGCATGACTGGTGCCAGAAATATTGATGCTAACTGAAAAATTATTTATTTATTTGATGCTGCTTATTTGTTTAAATTGTTTTTCAAGCTCTAAACAAGAGAGTCCTTAGCAGATGCTCTCTGGGAGCTGGATTTGTATTTTAAGGCAGTATCTAAGTTCGCACTATTCAAAACGTTTTGTTATCCTAAAAAAAAATTGGTAAATTGCTAAGTGAACTACCTACTCTTGTCCTACTGAGAAAGGATTCCAGAGTAGAATCAAACACTCATTGCATCTGAAAGATCTTCTTTTGCATCTGAAGGTGAGACAACAGGACATTTTTTGCTCAGTCTTACTATGTCTGTATAAGAAACTATCTGCTTATCAAAGAATTGTTTAGATAAGCAAATGTTGTGTGGTAGGGCAAATAAATGAAGTTTTATTTGGGTCACTATAGATTAAAGGTAAGGTGAACATTTGCTTTAAGCTCTTTCTAAGTTTATGGGACTATTTAAGACCTGGCGGAATAAGATTATCCACTGTTCAGGTAAGCATTCATCACACCCCATAATCCTTTTAATTAGTACCTTAAACTTTCAGCCCTCTAAACAAAATGCAGCTGTTATTTTTCCTATGTTTAAGCTTTGTTTGTTTTAAAAGCCTTATTTTTACAGCTAAACAACTAGGTATACTGCAGTAATCCACCAGTTTTCATTTCTGACATTGATATTGTAGATCCACTGAGTGGGCAAATATCTGTTTAGTTTAGTTTTCATAAAGGTAATAAAAAAATTATTTGGAAGTTTTCTGGATACATAAACTGATGTCCACACTCCTCCGAGAAACCAATTATTTGTGCCTGGATGCTTTGCACAAACTGGCAGATTTGTGTGCAAAGGATGCTAAGAGCAGATATCACTGATGCTGAGAAGCCTTACTCTAACTCTGTAGTATGATTAGAAAAAGTTATTTCACCATGGAAATGGATTCCTCCTCAAACTTGTCAGTTTCTTTGGTGTTGTTTGCAGCTTTTGCAACAGGTCTTGATAGTACATAGTGTGTTCTGTGTTACATCTTGCATTTCTTTAGAGAATTGTACATGGAAGGGGCAGAGGGCACAGTCACTGCCAACATTGTTCCCCCTCACCTCTTCACCAAGGCTATATATATATATATTTCTTCAGAGCAGAACTTAAATAGAGGTTCCAAGCTTTGGGGTGGAGGCAGTTTGTCTGTTTCACCGTTTCTTTCAGCCTTTCACAGGGGCTTGAGTAAATACACCAATAACAATGTGGTTTTTTTTAGAAAACGCATTTCCTTTTTTTTCCTTTTTTTTTTGGAGGGGAAATAAAGGCATGTGTAAAATTTGTTCAGAAACCGCAAAATTCTGTTGTGTTTCCAGGAATATCTGGCACTGTTAGTGGAATTTCAAGCACCGCACCATCAGTTCAGCTGAGAGACAAGCTCCTTTTGACTTGTCCTTCCCCAAATCTGTTTTCATCACAAATGATCTTTGTACCTTTAAGAAATGGTGTCTGTTTACTTCCCACCCACCCCTATCCTTTTTATTTTATGTTAAAGGTTTGTTTGCTTTTTTATAAGATTGTAAGTGTAAGGACTCCCTTCTAAGCTGAAGAGGGAGTAGAATGTTTTAAATAAATAAATAAATGAGTTTCTGTACAGATCTGATACCATGGCTGGAATGATAAAGGCAGCCTGCTGCACAGTGACCTTGAAGGAGAGACATCACATGGAATTTCCCCTCCCATGTCTCGCTTCTAAGACACCATTGGGGGTTATGAAAATGGCAGATAGATGATATCAGAATCCTCAGTGAGAGGCAGGGAAGAGCTCGCTGAATAAAAGACTGGGAGAGGAAAGCTCCCAGGTGAGAGCTAGGAGGCTCTGTCATTTTGTATGTGTGGCTTGGATTAAAAGCTACTTTCAGCAGAGAGAAGATTCAGTAATGGTGCAACTGTTGTTGTTGTTGTTGTTGTTGTTGTTGTTGTTGTTGTTGTTGTTGTTGTATTTTGGGGACCCTGGTGCCAATTTTCTCCTCCCTTATCTCCTGTGCTGTTGCTCTTACAATAATATGTATTTTCTGAGAATCTGTATTCAATTATATCTTTCTTATTATTATAATTGTGTTTCTGTAACTGTTTCCCCCATAAGCAGTTATGGAAGTTTTTCCTTAATGCAATAAGATAAAAGAAACAAATCTAAATAAAAACAAAAACAGAAAGAGGGAGCTCTTAACTCTTGTCACCCGCAGAAAGTGTCGAGCCTCCCAGCTTTCATCTGGGAGCTTTTTCTTTTCTTCTCCCAGTCTCTCACCTTGGAAGATCTTCACTTCCCTGCTTCTCACTCGACATAGTGCTTATATATAACTTGTTTTTATTTTTATATTGTATAGATATTATGTCATTTATTGACATTTGTGTTCTGTGTTACAAACTGCCCTGTGGTTTTCTGATGAAGGGTGGCATATAATTTCTTTTTTTTTAGTATCAATAATAATAATAAAATAATTATAATAAATAAAATAAAACAAGTTTTACACATCTTCAAACAACTCTCAATTAGATAATCTAGACATGAATTTAAACACTTCATATTGCTGGCTTTACAGACATTTTAATGATAGCTACCATTGCACAAAACTTTGGAAAAGTTTGGCAATTCATTTGCATTAAAATTAGCATGCGGAATCGAGATCATGAAGAAAAATTCTGTGTCACACAAATAGCAACAACAAAAAGTGGGGAAGTGATTGAATGCCTTTCTAAAACAATTGGAATGTAGGTTGGGCCAGTTAAGAACTAAGAGAAGAATAGATATTCAGCTCTTGCCCATGTTAGGAAATGCATCCTTGATATCAGTTTCACCAGTGTGTCAGTAAGAGTTCTGCTATGACAATAAACACCAGTGACTTCTGCATGTGATGAAATACATTTGCAAGAGTTTACCCATTGCATCCCTTTTAGTAGTCTATGAAAACATCCCCAAGAGATTACCATTCATTTCTTACTGCACTTAAATGTGGTACTGAGTCATATTGTTGGAAATGGAAGTCATTTGCTCACATGAACATCTTTTTTCATGGGCTCTCTAGATCTGGAAGCCTTCAGGAATGTTTGGATGGGTTATTCATAAGCCTCCCCTGTTTCCTCAGTGGGAGTCTTCCCTCTGCTATATCAGAGAGCCTGTTAACCACCTCTTTTTTCTGTGGGGTGGAATGAAGTAGAGAATACCTTAATTCTGCCCAGAGGCAAGCAGAACTCTAAGAGCTGATGGTAGCATCAGGGGTCCGTCCAAGACGGATCACAAATTTAATGAAAAGCTTAATAAAACATGTGAATAGAAAAGGCAGTAGGAAAAAGTTTGTCAGCATAGTCTATACATATTAAGTGGCCTATAACATTGAAATAAACTGTAGGAAGGAAGGCAGACCTGAAAGATGCTTAAGTTAGGTTTCAAGGGACTTCAGCAAGTTACATCAAGTGAACAAAAATGATGAGAAGGACAAAACTAAAAAGGGCTGTGTTGATTGTAATGGAAATTAGATATTACAAGTTTGATTTGGAATTTATGAATTTTAACACAGAAGAAAATAAGAGATAAATGGGAGTTATTAAATAGCAGTTAAATGGAAAGAGTTAAAAAAATATCCACAGTATCATTATGGGTATACCTTGGGGAAGAGGCATATCTCAGTGGGACAGCATATGCCCCCAAGTCTTGAGGTGGGACTGGGAAAAACTCCTGTAGGAAACCCTAGAGAGTCATTGGCAATAGACAATTCTGAACTAGATGGACCAAAGGGCTGACTTAGTATAAGGCACCTTTCTATGAAAAGATAAATTATACCTTAGAACTTGAGGTGGTTATCTTTATAAACTGAACTGTGGAACCATAAGTCATATCCGTACGTAATGAGTACTTGGTGATGTACTTGCAAATATACACTGAGCAGAATATCACACAGCTTGATCGAGTCAGGTTCGAGCTGCATTTATTCTAGGAAAATGGGTTTAGCAGTAAAATATTCTGTAAACATTCAGAATAAAACTGTATCATCACCCCACGCATCATCAACATGCAATTTTTGGTGCTTTGTTGTGAAAAATGATCATATTGGACTGGAATAAGGCTGGGCCTACCCAAATTGTGAGCCAACAAGAGAAATTCAACCCATCAGCAATCTCCAGGCTAGGCTAGATGCCAATGTAAAATTACCCTTCAGATAGGTACCAACTGTATTTCTTCTTTCCTTCATAGCACAAAGACAGCACTGAAAGTTGTCAAATGCTTTACTGGGGGATGAATGTTCCTGCAAAACACACTCTCTCTCTCTCTCTCTCTCTGTGTGTGTGTGTTTTATGTAACCTAGCTTTTGCCTCCACATCAACCTGCTGGTTCACCACTGTCATCTTTGAAGTTCTCCTCCAGGTGCCTTTGCCATCTGAACTGTAATAGATGGCAATCAGGGAGAGAAGGGCTTTTCTCTGTTTTTAGCTGTTCTTATTTTTTATCTGTAAGCCACCTTAAGGGAAAAAGTGGGGTATAAATAAATGTATAACGTAAAGGGTGTTTCCTCTGCTTCTTTCCCCATGCTTTTAGCCTGAATCCAGTGTTGATGTCGTATAGGCACCAGGTGTATTTACTATCTGGTCTAAACCACTGAGCCTCTTGGGCTTGCCGATTGGAAGGTCGGCGGTTCGAATCCCCACAATGGAGTGAGCTCCCATTCCTCTGTCCAGCTCCTGTCAACCTAGCAGTTTGAAAGCACACCAGTGCAAGTAGATAAATAGGTACTGCTGTGGCAGGAAGCTAAACAGTGTTTCCGTGCACTCTGGTATCTGTCACAGTGTCCCATTGTGCCAGAAGCAGTTTAGTCATGCTGGCCACATGACCCAGAAAG